AAAATATGTATTTCATTATTTAGTAGGATGAAGAGCTTTCTAACAGCTAACAGCAGCAACTATCTGGGGTAGCAGTAAGGAGCTTCTCTCTACATTCTATCGGAAAATATATGTATTTAAAGTATTAAAATATTTAAAGTATTTTTGTTGTTTTAAAGGATGTTGCCCATACTCTTTGATAGACTGGGCTTAAACATGCAATCCTGCTGCCTCAGCCTCACAGAATTCTGGGATTACTGGTTAATATTTCCTATAATTTATAATCTATCTATCTAGTGCCAACTCTTCTCTGAGCTTCCCTTAGATCTGATTTCTCCCTGAATACATCTGCTCAACCACCTCTGGCCAACCTGTCTGGAGCTGAGTTCCTCAGAGATACCCCTTCTTATCATTCCTGCAGTGTACCTTCACCTCTATATCAGGTCAAACTCGAAACATTGATGTTGCCCTGAACATATCCATTCATTTTAGTCACAACTTATAGACAACTGTCAAGTCTTGGAAGATTTTATCGCTCTTGAAAATCTTTGGTTTATCTTTGAAGAACCTTGACTTATCTTTCAAGTCATCCGCCTGCACCTGGGTTCAGCATGATGTTCTCCCTCTTGAGTTATAGAAATATTGCCATAGGCACACCTTGCTTCTGGTTTTCTTGGTTTTATTGCTTCTGGATTTAATTCAGCCTACCCTCTACACTTGAGCAATTTTTCTAAAGTAGACAAAGACTGTAATTTTCTTACAATCCTCCTTTGTTCTGTACTGAGATCAAGACAGGTTAAATTCTAGGGCATGCCACTGAAGCTTATCCTCTTTGTGTTCTCCAGACATCTGGTCAGCTCTCGTTCATTCCTCAAATCCCTAACCTCCAGTTCCCACCCCAAATCGGGTCTTAATGAGCCCTCTTGCCAGCTTTTACTCTTTTTTTATTGCATTTACTCACACTCACATATAATTCATCCAAATATCTGCTTAATATCTATTTGTTTTCAGCAGCTTAAAATTCCTAAGAACCCAAACAACGTGTTAATAATTGCTACTATGCCTCAAAGCCAGTACATACCTGACACGTAGTAATTACACAGAGAATAATTAACTGATGAAAGGATGGGGCTAATTTCTTCACTTCTTCCATGGTAAACTCCTACTCATCCATTAAAACCCATCCAAAAATGATGGAACATAATATATTTCTTTCATGGAAGAAAAATATAAAGCCTCATCCCAAGTATCCTAAAATTATCTCTAAAGTTTATCTACACCCACCCCCATAATTCCCTGATTTGTTAGATGTCCAAACTCTTCTGTTGTCTTTTCGTACCTTGTTATAAACCCTGTGTATGTTGCTATTATAACTTTTCAACTCAATGAAGCTTTGATTCCATTGTTTCTTCAATTAATTTATATGCTCCTGGAGCAAACAATTTTGTGTTTAAATCTTTAATGTGAAACACCATGTTTAGGACGGTGTAAATTCTTAAGTTCATTCCTGCTCCACTTGATTTTCACCACCACCAACATTTCTACAAAAGGCAAATGTCGTCTATTCTGGGAGAACCACCATACTTTCAAGATCATTCAGTTGGAGATTCTTTCCCTATGTTGAACCAGAACCATCTCCTTAGAGCTCCTATTTCCTCTCAGTCCTATCCCTTGGGGACACAGGGTAAGGAGAATAACAGTATAAAAGTAGGTGGTCACAGGGCTGGGGATTTAGCTCAGCGGCAAAAGCGCCTGCCTGGCAAGCGCAAGGTCGTGAGTTCGGTTCCGGGTACCAGAGAAAAACCAAAAAAAAAAAAAAAAAAAGTAGGTGGTCACTACAGGCTAGCAACGACAGAAGACTGTGGGTTCTGAATAATTTAATGGGGGAGCCAAAATAAGTTAAAATATTAACTAAATACAGTCACATTTGCCTCCTTATGTAGCAGTTACAAATCTCAAGACACAGTTTCCAAAATTGCTTCTGTCACTGAAAAATATTATGCTAGATGTTGGTAATCGAACCCAGATGCTGGCCTCTTTGTAAACAATCTAGTGGACATTATTCTTAGGAATGAGAAGTTGGTACAGGACAGGTTTCACTGCTCTAAGATCTGAGTTATGTTTCTCTCCTTCAACTTTCCCCCATTTGGAACCACCAAATGATATTTGTTTCTGGGTATAGCCTGCCAGTACAATAAAAACTATTTGTACCGCATTATTTTATGATCAGTGACTTTTTGAAAGTTGCTTCAGCTCAATATCCATTATTTATCTACAATAGTCACACTAAAAGCAAAGATACATATGCCCTTTTTTATTGTTTCCTCCTTCTGTCTCTTACTCATTACAAGTAGCGTCCTTGTGTGAACTTAACAGTCAATAGATGTTTGCTGATCAGAACACAGCTTCAAAAGAGCCCTTAGGGAACCTGGAGTTGAGGGCAGATACTGAGAAGAAAGCACCTGGTTGTGATTTTGTGGCCAGGGCTCCTAGAAAACCATGGGTGGTGATAAGAAAGTTCACACACCTGGGGATATTGGCAGGCACAACCCAGCTCCCACTTTCAAGCGAGAAAATGGTAGGAAGCATGTGGTGGGTTTAAGAGCATGTGATCAGGAGCAGCTGCTGTCTCCAGCAAGGAGAGTGCATACTTAGGTGCTATGCAAATCCTGGCCAGTGGTGGTGCTGGCGGGGCATGTGCTAAGATGGAGGGGAACATGACTTAAGATGGTCAAATTAGGAGGAGAGGCAAATATGAACAAAACAACATATAAAGATAGGAGGGAAGACAGAAACATATAAAGGGTTTCTAAGACGTTGATGTTGCTTCCTGGAGAATATGGTAAAAATGAGTAGAGAAATGCAAAGGGATCAGAGAGCCCAAGTGAATCAAATGCATGTACATTGGCTACAACCACCATGCTGAACAATGGGAAGATCTATGAAGCATAGGAGGACAGATCAGTTCCTGAGCCCATCTCTTCCCATCACCATCTAGGTGTCTCAAATTATTTCACTACGAAGTGAAATCTTTGCTACTGGAGGATTACACATTTCTTTGTATCTGCGTAGATACGGCTGCAGCAGACAAGTGGTCACATGCAAGGAGGCTGATCATATAGGACACTAGAGTGAATATTAAAATATGGAACTGGAACTGAAAGCATTAGAGTAAACTTATGGTTTCTCAGTACGGACAGTTATGGAATCAGAGAAACATGTGTGTGTACGGTTGTGTGTGAACGTTGCATAGGTAAATTCTCCAGCCCTTGGAATGGTATCACTCCAAGAGCCAGGATCTGGTGTCCATATACTGCTTGTATATCATTATTTACTAAAAAGACAGGTCTCTTTGGAAAAATAATAACTACCAGGACTGCAGCTGGAAAGCTTGGAATACTTTCTCGTGCCATAAAGCAAGGGAGTAATTGAAGACTGATGGGAACCCTGACAGGGAGGAGGATTTAAGAAGAGAAACAATTCCTTTGGTCCTACAATTTCTTTGAACAATGCTTGACATTCACAGAAAAGTTATTATTCTGTTAGTGCCCTTTAAAACAGAAATTAGTACTCAAAACTCAACCCACAACAGACAAATTTATTTTAATCAATTCCATTTCAGCCTTGTATCCTCAGACTGTGCCCCTACTTTTTGTTTTCTGCAAAGTTACAACGAAGCCAGTGCCAACAACACTATGTGAAAAGCACAATTTTTTAATGCTCAGGCTTATTCTTTGCGTGAGATCTCTTCCTATTTCCCATTTCATCCACCTGCTCTTTTGTTCTTGAAACAAGCTCATCTTAAGTACCAGTACTCCAGGAAGTGTTGTGATGGGGCTGGGCGTGCTGGGGTTCTTGGCACAGCAGCCCTGTCGAGATCTGAGGGAAGTGTACCCCATGTGGCTCACCCTGTTTTAGGGTTGGACAGAAAATGAGACAATTATTTCAGCCTCTTTGCACATCCAGAGTTCATGGATGAAGAAAGGAGATAGTGCATAGATAAAGGGATTGAAGCACTTCAAAACCAATTACATTTTAACTTTCCCAGACCATACATTGAAAAAAACTTCCAGCCTGGACATTATCTGACAAATATCTTAGTACTGTTCTAAGTCTAGAGCACTTTAAAGATGAGAACATTATTCCTAAATGCTTGTTGGACTCAGAAAAAGTCTATATGCTCCATCAAAGCCTGATTTACTTAATACTCTATTTCTTGTGTTTGAGGAATGTCTAACACACAGCATGTGCTCAACAAATACTCACTGAATAATTTTTTAAAGAAGAATATCCTAAGGCAGTGTGTAGATGGTGGTGGTGGTGATTAGTGCTTCGCTGATAGTTGATGATACTTGAGAAACTTTTACCGTACAGCTTCAATTTCCTCCTTAGCCTGTTTGTTCCTCTGCCTTAAATGCTCTTGCTCAGTTGTTCTGTACGTCTTTGTACTCTCTGTACTCTACGGGGTGGTGGTGGCTGGGGTCAGAGGACAAAGATGAATTTAATGTGCCTCTTTGACCTCTAGGAGGAGCTCCGACTGCACCGAAACTCCGGAAGCTGGTGGGAGAACAGAGCAGAGAAGACAGAAAGGAGGAAGGAATAAGTGCTCTGGTATCAGGGTTTGTTTCCCTCCGGCTGGGAGATGGTACGAGCACAACTCGAAGGCGGTACTTCCTCATTTTACTTTCCCAGCCATGTCACGCTGTCCCTGAAGCTTCTTGGGCTCAGTCCCTAGATCTTTTTGTTCTTGTGAAGCTTCCTCTGTAAGAATCAGCTCGTGTTGAGGCCCCACAGCCCAGGGAGGTGAAATGCTTTGGGGGCAGGGCCTGCAGCATGGTCCTCTCCTATCCCCTCAGCACCTTCTCAGGGGTGCTCGCTGCCTAGTTAGCAGGACATTACTGATTTCTAAAACGAGGTCTAGCTGACTCCAGGGAAGGGCCCAGGTGAGGTGGGCAAGGCATCTCTCTAAGTCAGTCGGGAGGAGAGAGAAACTCAAGTGTGCTTGTCCTGGGTCTGTGCCACGCAGCAGGCAGGGTCTCCATAAAAAGTGGAGGAAATCTGTGTGTGAGGGGGAGCAGAAAGAGGAAGGAGAGACCCAGGTATCATTGCAAGGAGGGCACTGACTAGCAGGAAAGTGTCTGTCTGAGAACAGTTGCTCACTCAGCCCTGACCAGCACGAAAGGCAAAGCGGAAGTGTGAGCTGTAGCCACAGGCAGAAGCGCTGGTCTCCCAAGCAAACTGTGAGAAGGAGACAAGGGTGCCATCCTGTGGGCCACTGAAACCATGAGCTCCACACTCCTCTGCTATGTGGCCCTTTGTCTCCTGGGAGCAGGTGAGTCCTGGGTACAGCTGCCCTTGCACTTCTAGCTTTTTCATGGAATTTCCTCATAAAACTCTCGCTTAATCGTAGTCTAAATTTGGCATCTTATTTCCACAGGTCCTGTGTATTCTGGAGTTACTCAGATACCAAAACACCTGGTCACAGTGATGGGGACTAACAGGACTCTGAAATGTGAACAAAACCTGGGACACGGTGCTATGTTTTGGTATAGACAGAATGCTAAGAATCCCATAAAGCTCATGTTTTATTACAGCTATAGTAACCTCCTTCAAAATGAAACTGTTCCCAGTCGCTTCACACCTGACAATTCAGACAGCTCTCGGTTGTATCTTCACATTGCTTTTCTGGAGATGGAGGACTCAGGCGTGTACCTCTGTGCCAGTAGCTAAGACACAGCCGTGCAGCATCACCGTCTCCCCATACGCAAACCCCCAGGGTGGAGCCGGGAGGCTGTGGGGGCAACATGTCCACCTGAGCTTTGAGACTGAGTTCAGGCTCCCACAGGGCTCTAACAGGAACCTCAGACCAACATACCACCTGTCAGTTCACTGGCCATTTTTTTTCTAAATTCTCCACACAGACACCCACAGCCTTCAGCCTGGCTTTGTTTTGATCAAGACTATGTCAGTTGTTGATTAGAAGATAAACACACTCAAATTTAAGATGTGTCAAGTATCCTCCAGTTGGTTTGTGCTCCTGGGAAATCTTTTATGAATCACTTAACACAGGCCCCACCAATCCTCCTTCCAATATGTACCTTTTCCTGACCTCTCTTTCTGCCCAAGTTAGTTAGCTCCTTTATCTCAGTGCTCATATCCGCTCCAAATACACCGAGACCTTTTCATAATACCTCATCTCCTCTCCACGTGTCTTTGTCACTCCTCCAAGTGTTCCTGGCGCCGAGGACAATAGTTCCTATGTGGTTTGTATGATTGTTGCTAGCAATGGCCTTCTGTCCTGCACACCCCATCAAGCAGAACAGAGCCCTAAGCCCTGGGCTATCAGATTCGTGCCTTGGCACAAAAGCTCTGTCTTTTCTCCTGTAGAGGGCGCTCCAGGAATGATAGGTGGTGCCAGAATCAGGCACAACTCTGTCAGACTTCGCCTAGGGTATTCTGGGAGCTCAGCGTACCCTTCCTGTATTTCCGATGACCAGCAAGCAGAGCTAGGAGATGCCTCGCTCTTGGTGTGTCCCTGCTATGGACTACTGGCTCTTATGTTGGGCAGTTTTTAGTCTTCTGAAAGCAGGTGGATTCTTAGGACTCCAGAAGATTATCATGTCAGACTTCCTTAAAATACTTCTAAACCATCCCCTTAACGTTTTCTTTTTCCTTCTTATAGGACACACAGAACCTGGAGTCATCCAGATCCCTAGCCACCAAGTCACAAAGATGGGAGAGATGGTGACTCTGAGTTGTGACCCCATTTCTAGTCACCTTTACTTCTATTGGTATCGTCAGATCTTGGGACAGAGAATGGAATTTCTGGTTAGTTTCTCTATGGGAAAGGTCTTGGAGAAGTCTGAAACATTCGAGGATGACTATTCAGTTGAAAAGCCCGATGGGTCTTATTTCATTCTGAAGATTCATCCCACGAGGCTGGAGCACTCAGCTGTGTACTTCTGTGCCAGCAAATTAGCCACAGCCCTGCATAGGCACTTCCCACCTGTGCACAAACTCCTGCATGTCTGCCTCTCTCCTGGCTATCAGCACTCCTTCCTGCCCAAGAGAAGGAAGTCTGGTTGAGTTTGTCATTACAGATGTCTCTACGCAGACAGATAGCTAAAATTAAACTGCCTCCTGGCATGGGCTTTAGACCACACACTTTGTCCAACTTCACAGGCTGAGTAGTAGGAGGAGTCTTGATCAGATGTATGTCTTTCTGGTACTAAGGCTCTTTTATTTAAAAATTACTTTTAAAGCTGAGGGTCCTTCAAAGACGATGATATCACTGTCTAACCTTTCCAAAGTCCACCTCCTTCTGGCCTGAAGCCAGACCTTGGACTTCACAGCCTGGTCTCATTCCTGCCTTGCCCATATAAGATTCTGAGGGGGCCTACAGAGAAACCAGCCCAAAATGCAGAGAAGTCAGCCTCAAGGAGGGTCAGGACCTAACTGCAACCTTTTCCCCACCTATGTGTATCTGTACCTCTGCCGCTCTTCTGCATGACTGAGTCCTAGCAACACCTTTGGCCATTTGGCCACAAGGAGGAGCTATGACCATACTGAGCTCCAGGGAACCCAGATGAAAGCCTGGGAGAATTCTCTGGGTGAGAAAGGGTTAAGAGAAAGTACAGGATTATTTATATCATGGGAAAGCGTGGTCTGCAGATGCTGGGTGCCAGTGCTGTGGTGTGAGGGGTTAGAAGCCGACTGTTCCTCTCCATTGATGTGCAGGTGTCCTAGCAGTTGCCTGGCCTGCCAGACTCGCTGCATGTGGATCGGCATGGGACCAGAAAGGACAACGATCTGAGTGGTGGGGGTTGGGAGGTGGACAGCCTGTTCTTGGGAGAAATAAGACCTTGAGTCTGGGCCTCTGCCTTACCTCAGCCCAGTCCACTGAGCCCTGTGGTGACGTGAACTCCCAGGGCACTGGCAATAAGCCTAAAAGGGCAGAGGTTCTTTAGGGACCATGCAGAGAAAATAGCTGGGAAATAGCTAATGACCAGGCCAGAGGAGGCCTAGGGTGCCGTCTCACCCATTCTCCAGCATCAGTGAATTAAACTAGAAAATATTTCATTCTCGTGCATCTCTTTGGTGGTCTTTTGTGTTCTTGAGGCAAGAATGTTCAAGCAGTGATCAAAACTCTTCTTCAGGGTGAGAAAGTGGTTCTGTCAAGATAGTAGCAACAGATTCCCTTCTGGAATCTACTTCCAGCTTCTCTCTATTGACAAAGACCCACTGAAGTAAAAATTGCCCAGATGCCCAAACACTGGCTGACACTAAAATACATAGAGATGTAAAGGCAGGGGACATTGGTCAAAATCCAGGATGCAGATTTGAAACAGGACCTTTTACTTGGCTTGCACTCTGGACTCCTGGCTCCTCTTTTTAAAACAACCACTTGGAATTTCCCTTGCTTCTTGCAAAGCCAAGAATTACATTTTTTTTTGTAAGCTCCAGTTGTTGTGCAGGCAGAAAGAAGCTTCAGAATATCTCTCCATGCTGCCATAAATGTTCTATCCTCCTCTCTGATGCAAGTTTCTTAACTTTCTGTACTAGGAGACATTTTCAAAATCTGTTGGAAATTATAAAGACTGGAAAATGCAGGCTCCTACTTCTAATCTCACAATTAAATGTAAATTGAATAACTTTAGCTTGAGGTTTGGGAATTCAAAGTCCTCCCAGATGTTTTCATGCCCACCTCCATAAACATCTACCTAATAACAAAAGGAAGGCAGCATATAATGGTTTTAAAGTCAATAAATAATGCCTACATGTCATAGTACTACATTTAGCTTTCGTTGTTTTCAGTGGACTGCAGATCAAACATTCACGTTCCATGTAACAGTAGACATAATACATGTAAATATTTTACATGGATATGTGAGAGTTTAATAGCTAAATAGCTAAATAGGCAAAATAACATGGAGTGATACTAATTTATATAGGTGAAGGACAAGTGACCTGAAGATGTCTCATCTTGTTTTGATCTGTATTTCTATTTCAAAAATTGGTCATTGTTGTTCTACTTGCAGGTGTAGGATTGTATGACTGATGTGTATGTTCACTTTTATATCTTTGTCGCCAGAAAATGGATTATTTTAGAGTCAGAGGCACTACTACCTAGCACCAGCTAAGCAGAATGGAAAGCATGCCATTGGAGACCTGAGAAAAAATTGAGCACCACTGAAGACAGACCAAATCTGATGGCGCTGAAATCTTTATAGGATTCTGTGTCATGATAACTGTATTTGGTTTGATGGAGTATAAGAGATTCTGCCTTCATCTTGGTTGGCCAGACCACCCAGGGCAGCACCCCCGATCTCTTAGCGGACTGACAGGAGACCGCTCTTCTGGGCGGAACTGTGTTCCTATGGAGGTCACAAAAAGCAGAAGCAGTAATGGAGATTTTGTTTCTAAAATGGAAGATTTTGTTTACAAACATACCGCCACACATACCTTTCCCACTAAAACCCAAACTTTTGGAAATGGCCCAAGCACGAGAAGGAGTTTAAATACTGGATAGCCAAAACCATCACCAATAGCCAGATGTGTGTCTGGATATCATTCAGTTCACTTCCTATCTGTTCTAGTTCTCTAGACTTCTGCCTCATTCCCACTGGTCCTATAATTCTCTGACTTCGCGGATTACATTATTTCCACAGTAAAATTATTTCCTTTTTCCTCCTTCCTTTACTTTCTTGATCAAAGTCTGGGTTTTGCCAGGGATCCCAGTATCAGCCCTGGATTCTTTTATGTAGATTCCCTCTTCTCCAATTCTGCCAATCTTCTCAGAAAAGCAGGTGTAAAGAATTATTTTTGTTCCCTTTTATCTGTGTGTGTGTGTGTGTGTGTGTGTGTGTGTGTATCAAGGGCAGTCTTGAACTAGGATTCTGGCAGTCCTAGTTGTTGGTCTTACTCCTTGTAGGTGCTGACCTGGGTCCATGTACTGTGTCTGATCTACCTGTAGGGGGTGCTCTGACGCTATCAATTTCCTGAGCTCCCTTTCAAAGGCAGTCGGGCTGGTAGAAGAGCTGGACTACTGCGCGGAAGGAAGAAGATGCTTGTTAACCAGGCAGATTTCCTATTATCTGAAGAAATTTTTGTTGTCATGAGCCGGCTGTAGTGGCATCTGGTGATAGGGTAGTAGAGACCAGTGATGCTGCTAAACATCCCACAGTGCACAGGATACTTCCCACAACAGAAAACTACTCATGCAATATGTCGGTAGTGCTGATGTTGATGAATCCTGGGTCAGGCAATGGGTTTTAAACTATGTACCAAAAAGGAGGGTGATCTGTAGGCAGCTCAAGAACAGAGAAGTCATTCCGTATAGGTTTTCCTCACTTTCATGAGGTTCTATAGTCACTTTGTTCCTAACACAGAGTGATGTCTTCATCTGTAGACCCACAAAAGGGAAATCAGCTGTACTCTGATGCTGGAGCCTGAAAAAGTGAGGAAAGGCCGAGGTAGTCAGCTGCTGGGACAGCAAAGAAATGAGAGTCAGCCGCCACTGTGAGAATGATTGTTGGAGACATCCTGGAGGAACATGCCCACTCCACTCAAGCCCTCCCTGGAAATCCCAAACACACCTTTGAAAGGAGCAAGTTCAGGATATTAACAAGGAGGTGATGCTGTGAACCAGGAGATCATCACAGCAAAGCTCATGCAATCAGTAGAGGAAGCTCCAGCACAGTCTTACTGCTGTAGATCAGACTCCTGAGCTAAAGCCTTGCCTGTCCTACTACTGTGGTTTGTGTCTAGAGGTCCCCCCAAAAGCCTCATGAAGTCATAAGGGTTGTTTTGGAGGAGGCAAATTTTCTGTGCTACCACCATTCTAGAACATAGTGCTCTGGAGCTTTCTTCTCAAAGCAAAGTCTTTCACTTTTGCAATTTTGAGGCTGCAAAGGGTGAAATCTTGCTGCTTCTTGTGATGTCCTCAGGCCGTCTTTTCTATTCTCCTATTCCTTCTCAACATTTAGATCTCCTCTACTCTATCTTTGCACTCTACAGCTTTACTGGAGCTTCATTTCTGGGCAAACTCACAATGTTTTAAATCATTCTGTTGACCTCTTTGCTCTTGATTTTCATAAGTCTGGCTGAAAACCTCCAACAGTAGTCTTGCCAATGCCTCAACAATAGACTTCCTTGAAATTTCTTCTGCCAGATTAATTAGTCTGTCACTCTTAATCTCAGTCTCAGGCAAAGTCTCTGTACAGAAGCAAAATGAAGACAAACTTTCTGCCAAACCACAACACACATCATCTGGAGTCCAATGACCAATGCAATCCTTCTTCCCAGCACAAAACACCTGAGCCTGACATTTATGGGCAGGATTTCAATCAGTCTTCTGGTCTTCTGACCTCTGACCAGAATTTCTCACACAGAACAGCCTAAGGTGTTCCAGCTCTACTTTTTCAGCCGGCATCACCAAATCATGCCAAACTCTACAAACCATCCCTGAAGCCTCCTGAACCACATCATCAGGTATAGACACATCAAGGACATCATTTCTCTGGTACCAAATTCTGTGTTGGTTACTTTTTTCTCATTGCTGAGACAAAATACCTGACACCCAAAGTAAAGGGGCAAGGATTTAGTTAGCTCACAGTCTATAGAAGTTTCAGTCTGTAATTGGCTGGCTCCAAGACCGGGTGGTACCTGGCAGAGGGTAACAGTTCATGGCAGAGGAAGACAGCAAACGCCACAAAAAGTAGAGGGAAACAAGCTCTTTTTGTCCCTTATATTGTTTACAGTCTACCAGGATTAAGGTGGTGCCAATCCAATCAGTGGACTGATTCAGTAATCCTCCATCCTTAATCCCAGAACCCTTAACCCCTGCATTGCACTACAAATCAATCATATGTTCTAGATTCAGCCACCTCCAAAAAAGCCTAAGTCTGCATGAGACTTTGGGGGGACAACTAGACACAAACCATAACAATGTCCAAAACCCTTTGCTTAAATTTTAATCCACATAACTTTGCAAACTTTAGGCGTTAGAAAAATGCTGTGCATTCCTTCTGATTCAACACATCCCTGGGTTAAAAAATCTAAATTATCCATCTTTCAACTTAAATAATAGATAATTATCCTTCTGGCCCCAATATAAATTTATAGATTTAGAACCTAATTCTAACCATAACTGTATAATTATAATTACCGTTACAGTTTGGCCAAAAAATATGCCATGTGACAATAAAGAGATGTTGAAAATCTTTTAAGGATAATGGATCATTTTATTGTGCTTATTTGTATCTTTAATGTTTTAAGATAAAGCCCAATATGGGCTTACCAGGACACTTTAAGAAAAATAATATTCCTACAACTAAATGGTCAAAAATCAGAGTTTAAGGGCTAGGGATTTAGGTCAATGACAAAAGCACCTGCCTGGCAAGTGCAAGGTCGTGAGTTCGATTCCTGGTACCGGAAGAAAAACAAAACAAAAAAAAATCACAGTTTATATAGTACTGAAGTGACCATAATGGGACATCTCCGACTGTCCTCAAATTGAGAGCCACCTGAAGAACTGGGGAGGCTGGTTTGGTTTCTAACATTTTACAAAGGAATGGGCCTTTGGAGGTTACTTCACAGCAGTTTTTCTGGATTTATGTGAGGAAATACAGTGTAATATATATATATATAGATAGATAGATATAGATATAAAGTAATATGGAATATTTTTCTTAAACATCATATGGAATACATTTTTATTCCCTAGCAGTAATCTGTGAAGATGTTTCATTGTCTTACTAAAATAGAGCTCTGTGGGTGAAAATGTTGATGTTTTTATCCTCCTTCCTGGCTGCTCCTCAGTGAGAATTTGTTGAGCAAATGAAGAAGGCTGTGAGTGCCACAGGGGTTAGATAATTAACATCTGCTCCGTTCCCGCTAAGGAACTGACAGGCCCAATCTCTATGGCACCAAAACAAAGTGTCCTGGGTGTGTGGGTGACTGGGGTTGTTGCGGACAGTGTCTGTTGTTTCAGATGCTTTCTTCCTCTTCATATTGCCCTGGTTTTTCAAACGTTCTCAGCTGCTTCTGGCTCTGTGCTGTATGAGACAGATCTGGGTCTCTGAGCAGACTCTGAGGGCTGCTCTCTGGTGATGTGTCGCTTCGGCCTCAGGGAGGCGCTGTGCTCTAGCAAAAGCTTTGAGGCTGGGGCAGGAGGAAGGGGATTGGAGCGGAAGGTGGGTCCCTGGGGATTCAGGTCTCCTATCAATTGAGACCTTGATTGTGGACAGAGATGCTAATATCAAGTTCAAACTGTTTCCCTTTTGTTTTGCACCGCAAGCCTGTGTTCTCTCTCAGCATCCTGTATTCCATATTTCCAAGTGTGTTAAACAACGTGGTGTTTAAATTTTTTTAAGTTATTATGGTAAAAGACATATTGCCATCAATATCCTTCAAAGTACACCCCCTTGTTTCAAACACAGGTATCCCTCTTTCTTGCTCCTTTCTGAAGCAGTTGTGAATGCCCTCTTTCCTGAATGTTTTTAGCTGCACTGTCCTGGATGCCTCAATATTCTGAACTGATTCAAAGCATTTACCTTTCATGGTCAGTTTTACATTGAGGAAGAACCAGAATTTGCCAGTGACAGATTCAATGAAAAAGTGAATAAGATACAGCAAATTGTTTTTATTTGAAATAAATTGCAGTAAACGTTTTGAATGAGTTCAGGACCTAGGCAGCCGTGAAAAGACACTCACAAAAGAAGACTTCCAGAGCTGCTTCAGAATGTGGCAAGAATGCTAGGATTAGATGCTCAAAGAGAAGGAGTATTTTGAGGGGGATTAACGACATAGCATCTTTTATGCAACAATAGTTTTTGAAATTTAAATATTCACTGTATATTTTGATCACACAGTGTATGTTTGCTCTAATCCTAGCCAAGCTCTGTACCCTCAAATACAGGGTCTGGCGCATCCCTTCCGTGTTTCTCCCAGCATCTTCCCTGGTGTGCAGCTCCTTGTTGGCATCACAGGTATGCACCGCATGTGATGAGCACTCATCCAGGGTGGAAGCGTGCTCACCCAATCATCTTCCCTCCACAATCTTAGGTATCAGAGAGAGGTAGTGTTTTGAGGTTGTTGTCCCCTGTCACTGAGCAAGGGGAGAGGGAAATTAATTGAAGAGTAAATGGTCTATCTCTGAGAGGGGTCTCAGAAGGGCAGGGAACAGAGAGAAGAGTTATATAATGAGGAAGGAAGCTAAGAGCAAAAGGGCAACCTCATGAATACCACTGAGCACTAAAATGCTGGCTCTGATCTTTCTGTATCAATCCTCATTGATCCCAGCTTGGTCAATACAAATGTGCCACCTATCAGAATCTAGATAGAGTGTAACGGGGAAGAAGAAACAGCCACTGGATGCAGGAAGCAGTCAAGGACAGTGACATCACAGGTAAAACCACCAATCAGAGCCATGGAACTCAATTCTAGCCTCCTCAGCCAGGCTACCACAGTCAGAGGATGCTGATCTGAGATCTGACTCCACCATGAACTGCAGGCTTCTCTGCAGGGTGGTCTTCTGTCTCCTCGGGGCAGGTGAGTCTTGGGTTCCAGTGACATGTCCTTGGACTCCATGCTTGTTCCTTTTGGCTGCAGTGACAACCTCTCCCTGAGTTCCATCTGAGTTTTGTTTCTTTTCCCCCACAGTTCCCACGAACACCAGAGTTACCCAGACACCAAGACATCTGGTCATGGGAACAACAAACAAGAAGTCTTTAAAATGTGAACAAAATCTGGGACATAATGCCATGTACTGGTATAAACAGAATGCTAAAAAGGGCCCGGAGCTCATGTTTGTCTGCAATTATCAAAACCTGGCCCAAAATGAGACGGTGCCTAGTCGCTTCTCACCTAATTGCTCAGACAAATCTCAGGTCTACCTTGACTTGACTGCCTTGCGTCCCGAAGATTCAGCAGTGTATCTCTGTGCCAGCAGCCAAGACACAGCCCTGCAGAGCCACTGCCTCCCTGTGCACAAACCTGTGGGCCCAGCCAGGAAGCTCTGGGGGCAAAGGAGGGCTCCTTTGAACATTTCCTGTAGGGCCTCATATGCAAAACATTATGCAAATCATAACACCACCTGCTATCTCAACCGATGTGCTGACTCTATATTCTCTATTTAGACTGTGGGGTTTCTTTTCCTTGTATGTGACTCTGCTCTGTTAACTGATGAAAAGACAAATACTTTAAAATCTAGTTTTTCTTAATGCCTTTCTCATTTTGAAATAAAACAAGCCTACTATACGTAGATCCTTTGGTTTAAGAGTTCATGGGGGGGGTGGGCTGGGGATTTAGCTCAGCGGCAAAAAGCGCCTGCCTGGCAAGCACAAGGTCGTGAGTTCGGTTCCCGGTACCAGAGAAAAACAAAAAAAAAAAAAAAAAAAAAAAAAAGAGTTCACAGGGGTTTCCTATGACCACTGCAGACATATCCTGCAAAAGTCCTTAGAGGGTTTCACTGTACACTTCACCGTCTCAGAACCCAATACTCTTGAGCCTCTTCTTCCCAGGAATCAAGGACTGTGGTCACCCAGGGCCAGGCAGCACTGAGCTTGGGTATTCAGAGAAGGGACTTCCAGGCAAGGGTCCCAGGGCTGGAGGCAGCCGCAGAGGACAGTAGGAGATTCACCTCTGGGAAATGGATTGAGAACATGTACTGTTCTGTCCTCAGTGGTTCTATTATTCCATATTCTGGCTTTTCTGTTCTCTAATTTCTCTCTTTTTTTCCACCTTAAGCTGGAGCCCAAGCTCTAGCCCTGATCAGTGCGCCACATCGGTACAGATGCTTTCTCTGAACTGAGGACGCAGAGATTGTGGCGTTGTCTGCTCTCATCCATTCAGCAGGGAGCTCGCTCTCTGTTCACACACCCTCCCTTGCTCTGAAATGTCCCTGTTGATTTCAGGCTTTAGGTCCTCCCTGGATTGTCTCTCTACCCTGAGACTTGTAGGCTTATCTTTCTCCCTTTGTCTCTTTATTCTCCAAATTCTAAATCATCACGCCCTGAGAGTTTCTGCAGCAAGACTTTGCACTGGCCATCAGAGAAGACAGAGGGCCTTACTAGTCTACTCAGGTCCATACACTGGTTTGCTGGCCTGAACCCAGTGGTATCAGTGGGCCTCTCTCAGAGGCACTATTTAACATAGGCTGCACACTGCAGGATACTCTCTGTCTAGCCTTAGGGCACCTCATGTCCATGATGGCATGCAGGTTCCTGTTTCCATAGTACATCCTCGAGTCTGTGGGTGCGGCACAGGCTGTGACATCACCAGATCTCTTCCTTTGCACTGCTCACAACCAGAGTCCCCGCTGAGACAGGCCTCAGACCTGTGCGACCCTACCATGGACAGGATCCTCTCCTGCTGTGTGATCTTTGGTCTCCTGGGGACAGGTGAACTCCGGGAGTGCTTGGAATTTCCCATGCTGCCTTTACATAGAGGCACTTCCAATCTTTCACCTTATTCTCATTTTGCTGTCTGTCTCCTCCACAGGACACATGGAACCTGGGGTCAGGCAAACTCCCAGCCACAAGATCACAGAGAAGGGACAGAATGTGACACTGAGGTGTGACCCCATTTCTGATCCACAGTACATCTATTGGTACCGACAGACTGTAGAGAAAGGAATTGAGTTTATGGTTTATTTTTATGACAATAACCCTGTGGAAAAGGCAGAGTTTTTCAGGGATCGATTCTCAGCAGAGATGCCTGAAGACTTATACTCCATTCTGAAGATCCAGCACTTACAGCTGGGAGACTCGGCCATGTATCTCTGTGCTGGCCTTGCAACCACAGCCTCACACAGACGTTTCCTGTCCCTATGTAAACCCTGTACCTCTCCCCCCCCACAAGCTCTGAGCAGCCCTTCCTACCTAAGGAGGCAGGAGTGTGTGGCTGAGGAAGTGGTTGCTTCCAGCAGGGGCAGAAAGTTAACCCTATGCACCAGAATAGTCAGTAGAAACAAGGATAACCGAGGCAATTGTACTTGGGAAATGCTCAAAGAATGTGGCTGTGGACCCAAGTGTGTGACGCATGTGGCCATTGGAGGGACCTGATGTGGCTACATGGGAAGCCTACATCCTTTCTGGGTCTTTGGTTGTGTTTTTTTCTATTTAGTAAAACATGACTTCCATCTTTGATTGACCAGGCCTTCTACAGAGGAAGGAAGGGCTTTCATGAGGCTGATAACGATCTTCAGCTTTCCAGAAGGTGGTGAACCTGAGCACCACATGAGGGTTGGGAAGGGGAGAAGGTTCTGGAACAGTAGACAGCAGAAGCAAAAGCCCCTGGGGACTCCGCACCCAGCACAGGCAGGGAAGCTCTTTCAGGGGTGCTGGTTGCCCACGTGAGTGTGAGCTCACACTGCAGAGGCAGGCTGGCACAGAGGGGCAGAGCCAAAGGTACAGCAGGAATGAACTGTCCACTCCCACAGTGATGTGTGGCGATAACCCTGACTTCTTAAAGCTACAATCCTGGGGTTCTTGAGCAGTTGGCAAGGGGTGATGCTGGAAGTGCTTTATGAGGAAATCTCCTGATTTCCTAATAATAAAGCAGGTGAATCTCAAGTACTCAGTTGGAAAAATAGGAAATTCTATGCTAGACTAATTGAGCACATCCATTTGTTACATACCTATTTATCCGTTCACTAATTCATTCACTTACTCTGTAGAAAAAGATCTTCCTCCCCAAGATACTAAAAGCATGCCTGTTTCTACATAGGAACACTATGGGACTCGGGAGAAAAAAATCAGAGGACCATGTGTCTTTCAGGGGCCAGTGTGACCCTGTTAAAACTTTCCTTCATGCTATAAAGTCACCAGCTCTTCTGCAAAGTGTTGCCACCAGGACAGAAGGGAAATTTGGAGTCTCATATTTTAGGGCGAGCCTATAATTTATCACTCAAAGTGGGGGACATCTAAGGGTGAAGTGGGTGATGTTAATCACACTTGGGCAACAGACATAATGTGGGGCATGTTTATCCTATATATGTCCCAGCCCTGGAGCCCTGGGACTTCCCCTCAGAGTCCTGGGAAGGAAGAAGCTTCAACTCTGCCTTGATTCTGATGTTAGCTGACTGCAGGTTCTGTGCTGTGGGCCCTTTTCCTTCTGGATGCTGGGCCGCTGGAGCACACGCAGGATATACCTGGCTTGGGCTTGGAAGGCCCCTAATCCTCCTGGTGGATTTCCTTTCTGATCTTTTGGTGGGTTGGCTGGAGCCAGCTGCAAAGGACAACAGAAGGAGGCCACATGCAGGGCTCAGTCTCCAGCTTCTGTCTCCTTCCCCTTGAGATCTGCCAACCCCAACCATCCACCCACGTATCCAGAGCAGCAGGTTAGCCAGGCGCTGCACAGCCACCTCTCTGCTCAGAAACAGCATCACACTGGTGAGAAATGGGCTCTGAGGTTGTATCCCAGGCCCCTCCAGCAGGCAGGTGACCTCAGCCCCCACTCTGTCTGTCTTCCAATCCTGCCTTCCCCTTGGCTCTGCCTGTGGGACAGAACAAGTCTCACTTTCCTCTGCATTGGAAAGAAACACTAGTTTTATTTCAGTAGTAGTTACTTTTAGCTCCTCCCCATATCCCTCTGTTAGGCTTTTCTTTTGGGTTCTGACTGTAATCACACCTCAGTGCATTGACCAGTTCCATTCTCTTACTAGGGTGTCTTCTCCTGCATCACACCTCAGGTTCTGGCTAAAATTAGCTTCAGTTCTATTTTTGGTGATATGTAGATGACCCCTTCTACCGTACAGTGTTATAAAAATTGGGCCTTATTTACATAAAATGTCAAGAACATGCCAAATATTCCATAAGTGCTAAGCATTCTGATTATAATTTCTCAATAATATACTTTCTGCAGGAAGTTGTCTTTGCTCCAAGTAGATTAAAGTTTAAGAGGCTGGAGGCTGAGTAAGACCAATAGATTTTAAGTTTTGTGTACTCTAAAAAGTAGTCATGTTTACTAGAGTGTAAGCCAGAATAAACAAGGAACTTCCATTGCAAAAACTATTTTTCTATTGAGTCATGGAGCTTCTCACCAAGACCAAAGGGTTCTGGAACAGCAATAAACTGGCCTCTTATTTGCAACCCTCATAGAAACACTGACTTGTGTTCTTAACCTTGAGTTGAGGGATAGAATTGCAAATGAAATCTCCCTCAAAGGCAGAAATCCTCTCCACAAAGTTGGAAAAGAAGCAAAACAGTTTAATGATTGAATTAACATCAACCAGACTATGATGAGCATTGCAGACAATGTGTTAAGAAATTGCAAAGTTGAAACAAAATCTCAACCTTCTATTTAGGCAGCTGCAGCTCATTACACATGTTCACAACAGGACTGTAACTAGTCCTCAGTTAAGTTGTCTTGACAGTACCTCTAGTCACACAACTGTAGTTCATCCTCGGTACACTTGGTAACTGCAGTGATTGCCTGAGATGAATATAAACCCCTTCTTATAAAAGGAGGTAGTTTTCCAACTTGCAGCAGCGTACATACTCTAAAATAAGCCATTAGAGTTAAAGCTCTGGCCCCTAAGTTACCATGTGTCATAGCTGGACTCTGCCATTGCCAGAAGAAGTCATTGGTTACCACTGCTTAGCATTGGCTTCCACTGCCATTGCTAGACGCTACCACCAGTCGGTGACAGTTGCTCCTGTGCTGCTCTCTGTTGATGATCTCTCCTGATTTCTGGAGGTCTTCAGGGATAGCAGCCCCTAGTGTTTGTACTTTAGGTCTTTTCTAACACAGCCACTTTGCCTATACTACCTTGGAATAAAAATTCTGAGTAGATTTACAAGACCTTCCAAGTACATGCTACCTGACAAGTCACAAGTAGATTTGTAAGACCACCACAGGGAGGCTTTATCTGAAAAGGGCCTGTACTGTAGCACATTGGGTTTGCACCTGAGAAGTGTGAAAACAGTACTGCTTATATAGTAGCAGCAGGCCTGTAATTGGCTCAAATTCAAGCTCTTTGATTGGTCCAGATCCAATGCTATTATTTGGTTCAAATTTAGTCCCACTGATTTGGAGCCATTGACCATGAATTGAATCCTCTGAAGCTGACAACCAAATTAAACCACTCTTCCTTTAAATTATAGATGTTGGATGTTTTGCCCCAGTCATGAAAAAGCTGACTAATACAACATTTAACCTCATTTTCCTCCATAAAGGTCTTATCTACAAATATAGTAAGCTTGGGTATTAGATTGCAAAGTAGGTTCTGTGGGGGAAAAAACACACTGAGTCCTTAACATGCAAAATGTTTGTTATTGCCCACTGATCTACAGAGTGGGGGGACTGTGGCACTATCAACCTCCAGCTGTGTGGGGAGTAACCCACAGAGGTGGCAGCCAGGGACATAGAAGGTTCAAGAAGAGTGCTATTTCACGCTTTCAGCCACTAAAATGTTTGATGATACATACAGGAATTCATGGTGTGTTTCCACATCAGGATGTCAGTTATACAATGGTTAGAAGTTTTTCTGAGTTTCAAAGAGATAAGGAAGAGTTTGGTACCAGATTGGGACGGCCTGCATGTCCTGAATAGAGACAGGAAGAGAAAAATCTGCTTTCAAGGAGAAGCAAAGCAACTGTGCAATAGACACAGAGCTTAACCCCAGCCCAGCCTGGAGCACCCATCTAACTCTACAAGTTGTGCTGTTGTGTCAAGAAAAGACCAAGCTGAGGTTATGGCAAGAGCCCAGGGACGTGGCAAGGGAAGCAGGTTGCATGGGCATCTGTAGAGACCATGACCTCAGAGCAGTGACATCACACCCTAAAGTCCAATCAGAGAACTGATGCTCACAACTTCAGCCCTCAGAAGACCAGAACCCTGAGCAGTGTGACAGAGGTTCAGCTCTTCCCTACCCTGCCATGGGCTCTAGATTTCTCTGCTATGTGGCTGTTTGTCTCCTGGGAGCAGGTAAGTCCCACAGACAAGGACAGCATCCCTGTTCTGGACTTGCTGTCTTCTGAATCTTCCACTTCTCCCTGAGAATTCCCCTCAGCCCCACTCCTATGTTCATTCTCTATGTACTTTTCCCACAGGCCCAGTGTTGACTGGAGTCATCCAGACCCCAAGACACAGGATCAAAACAAAAGGACAGCAAGTGACACTAAGATGTTCTCCTATGTCTGGGCACCAGAGTGTGGCCTGGTATCAGCAGGCTATGGGTCAGGGCCCCCAGTTCCTCTTTGAATATTACAATCAATTACAGAGAGCAAAAGGGAACGTCTCTAACCGATTCTCAGCTTGGTTCCGTGACTCTCTCTCTGAGCTGAACATAAGCACACTGGAGTTGGGGGACTCGGCTGTGTATCTCTGTGTCAGCAGAGGGCACAGCTCTGCAGAGTTCCCCACGTTCTGTGCATAAACCTCCTGCCAGCATGGAGGAATCTCAAATCTGACATAGGTCTGAAAAACATAAGGACCAGCCAGATGTGGTGGTGTGTGCCTGTAAGCCCAGCTCTCTAGAAGGCTGAGGTAAGAAGATCACAAGTTGAAGGCCAGCTTGAGCAACTTGGTGAAATTGTGCTTCAAACTGAAAAAGGGATAGTGCCATGGCTCAGTACAAATGCCCCAGGTTCAACCTCCAGCACAAAAAAAGGAGAAAGAAAGAAAAGATCCTAGAGTCTGTGATTACAGAAAGAAAGAAAAATGGTCTTAGGTTTCTGGAAAGTGCAGCTTTCTCTACCATTAGGGGAAGGGAAATTAAGAGTGAGTAGGCCACGTGCTACTTCGGTAAGTTCTCCCACAAAGCATGTCTTTGCCTGACAGTGTACCATGGGCAGTGCCAAAGGAGGAGTTTGTAATTTATGCGCCCCTCATCTATGGATGTGAAATTTTGTTTTGAGGTCAAGCTTGTATAATAATAGTGTAGTGTGGGTAGTAACATCACAGAGATCAGCTTTGTATAATTGAAGGAGAGTGAATTGAGAGTTGAGGAAGATCAAGAAAGGAGAAAGGAGAAAAGATGGTTGAAAATAGCATTGCAGGGTGACCTAGGGTTGTGTTCCACGTGACACAAGCTCTCTTCTCTTCCTTCCAAAACCCTCAATAGCCCCAAAATATACAGCAGAACCTTGTAGACAATGGCATCACAGGGCAGCCAGTCTCAGTTGAGGACATCACCAGATAACCAGTTGCCTGAGGTGAGAACTCTGGAGTTGGTTAGGAAGTCCTCTTTCTTGGCTCCTGACTGTGATACAGTGATACTCCTCAGGGAGCAGTTAGGTGCTTTCTAAAACACAGGGGAGGGCATATCAGCCTGGCCATATATGGACAAAGACTTGCCAATTTCCCAAAGATCTGTTCTGCTTTCCAACGATATCATTCTTCTGCTGACTCCCCAGATCGAAGTACCTTCTGTGCCTAACAGCCCTTCCCAATCTCTCCTACAACTCAGCAAATTTTGCACTTTCTTTTTTTGTACTTGCCCTTTTCAGGCCTGGAAGGAGCTCCCTTCCCCTACTTCCAGCATACACTGCTTGTTTGTCTCCAATCTGCATTTCTTCTCCCGTTTTACTCTGTCATTCCCAGCTTTGGACAGTATCACTCTTTTAACTTCACTTTCATAGGAAAAGCCATGTATGTAATTGACACAAGTCAATACCCATTTATACAGAGTCTTGGAATAATATTCATCATTATTTTTCCTTGTAAGGGATTCCTCTCATCTGAAATGTAATGGACCAGCATTATTAGTCATCTCAATTTTCCACCCATACCACTTCTCCAGTAAGGTGAGCAATTACGGTTTCATAGTCATGGTTGATTACCAAGGCTGGAAAGTTTCCTAATTGTGTCTAAGGCTGGGATATGGACTAAAGAAAATATTATAGGAATATTCATCCAGGTTTGTGGTTCTGTAACAGCAAAGGTCTTCAGCACAGCTATGCTTTTCCATAACCCCATTCTAGAGACAATGGAGCTGGAAATGTTATCAAGGTTCCTCAGAAATTAATTTAAAGACTGAAGAAAAAAATTGATTGTGCTCAATAACAGCATCTTATCACCTTTGGCAGTTACAGGACAGTATGTACGACACCCACAGCTTAAAGGAGACATTTATTTTGCTCACAATTTCCAGTAAGTTCAGCCCACAGCTGGCTGGTTCCAAGGCAGAAAATGCACGGTAGAAAGGCTTGGCAGAGGAAAACTTCTTACCTCGTGACACCCAGGAAATAAAGAGAGAAGCAGGAAGTTGAGGTCAAGAATACACTTTTCATGCTGATTTTACCAGTCTCTGCTAATCATGCTCAGCCTCTGAACGCATGAGACATTTTGGGGACTTTTAGATCTAAACCATACCAAGTTGTCTATTTACAGATATAAAAATGTGGAAATAAACATGTAAAACCTAGAAACAATCTTTATAACACGCACTCTGTAAAATTTGGTAATAATTAAGTGCAAAATATGAAAAGAAATGTATCTCACTGAGAGGAGCTGTGGAATGTAGTGTTTCCAGGATGGATCAACTTGCAGATGCCCCGCTGTTTATTTTTACAGTCTGTGTTATCCTGGCTTGCCTTTTTTCATTTTAGCACACTCAATGCAATGGTGTAGAATTTGCTTTTAAAATGTGTTGTTTCACACATGTGGTTGTTTTGTTTGTTTTGCTCTAAGACTCTGAAATCCTACACGTGGATTTGAAAAATCAATCCTAACTAGCCAGCTTGGAAATGCAGTAGAATGGGTGTGTGTGAGGGAAGGAGGGGCTCAGGATCCCCTTCCTGGTTTAGTCGATCAGGAGCACATGGCCCCAGAAGGTGGGATTTAAGGAAACTGTGGGCCATTGGCCAGTTGGGGGCGCTGTAGCTCCGCAGTTTTTCAGGGAACCTTGTGTGTGGGTGTTCCGTGGTTTGGAAACTGACCCAAGAGAGTGGGGCTGAAAAGAATGCCAGGCTGCTTGCTTGGATCAGAAAGGTGATTTGAATGCACTGGATGGGGCCTGAACAAGTGGAAGTAAACACAGACTCACTGTCCGGGAAAGGTAAGGGTGCGGTGGGTCTCAATGTGCTCAGGTAAGCTCCTGCATGGGCAGTAGACAGTGGAGAGGCAGGGGGAGGGGGCAAAGGTGGGAAATTGGTGTCTGGTTAGGGGCTGGGGCTGGTAGAAGTGGAGTTGGTATGTTCTTGGCATGTGGGAAAGGTGCTTGCCCTGACCCAGCTTCAGTTTCGGGGCGGTGGGCAGGAATGGTGCATGGTGCATGGTACGCAAGGTACAGTCTGAGTTCTGCCATTGGGTGCAGTGGGCTGAGGGACCAGCAGGGAGAGTGAAGTCAGAGCACGACATACGCTTTTGTCAGGGAGACCAAAGCTGCAGCCCCTTTGACTGTTCACCCCTGGAGGCCCCGCACAAACCAGGAGATGCCTGGGCTTCCTGATGCTGTGATGAGGTTCAGCTTCCTCTGCTGTATGGCCCTTTGTCTCTTAGAAACAGGTGAGTCCTGGGCAAGGCTGCGAAGTCGCCAATCTATGTTACCTGTCCCTGAATACATCTGCTGCGGACGTAGTCAAGTCTGCTGAGGATGGCTCTGCTCAGTCCTTAGCTCCTGTCTCCTGACTCTGAGCTCCTCTCTCCTGATCCACAGGCTCTGTGGATGCGGGAGTCGTGCAAACCCCAAGATACCTCATTCAAGTTAAAGGACAACAAACAACACTGAGATGCTCCCTTATCTCTGGACACCTCTCTGTGTCCTGGTATCAACAGAAGCTGGACCAGGGTCCCCAGTTCCTCTTTCAATATTACAACGGTGAAGAGAGAGAGAAAGGAAACAATCTCGATCGATTCTCAGTACAGCAGTTCAAGAACTCTACCGCTGAACTCACCCTGAGGGCCTTGGAGCTGGGGGACTCGGCTCTCTTTCTCTGTGCCAGCAGCGTGGCACAGCGCTGCATGGTCCCCAACCTTCTGTACAAAAACATTTCTCTCCAATCGGGACGTGACCGGGAAAGCAGGTCTGCCGGGCAGCCTGGCTCAGGCCCTGGGAAGCTCACAGGCCTTTCCCAGATATTTGCTGCTGCCGCCGGCATGCGTGATTGTTTGATGCTCACAGAACTGGCGCCAGTTAAGTGTCATTTTACCTATCTGTGTATCTGCAAGAAAGCAACTTTCCCAGAGCTCATATTCCGTAGCTGGCTAATACCTGTTCCGCTCACACGTGTGCACCCTCTCACCATTCACCTAGCAGATCTGTCCCCTCCTCTGACTTCCCCTTCGCAGATCCAAATGAATAGGAAGGGCATGTTATGTACCGCATATGATTATTACGAGCTGCTTCCTGACAAGTCCAAGAAACATACAACTTCAAGGCCAAATGTATTCATGGACCCTTCACTGTGATGAGAAAGAAAGATACACTGTACTGCACTATGGTCTTCTTGCCACAGTACAGAGAGGGCCATGTGATCTTTTGGATGGCAGCCTGTAGCAGTGTGGTTTTGAAGCTGCAGAACAAAAGGGTGGGGGTATTTGTTAGGGAAAGTGCACTTTTCCTGTGCAGGACTTCAGGAATCACAGGGAAAGAATGTGACCATTGTCACTCACTAACTTCTTTTATTCTTTTATTTAGCAAACATTTTTAGGTCCCCTACTTTGTACAAGGCATTGTTCACAGTAGAAAATGGAAACCAGTGAATTTCTTTGAAAAGAGAGAAAACAAAGAAAATAGAAAAAATTTGAGTTATCCAGAGTCATTTCCTTAGTTTTTGAACTATTCAAATCAAATTTTCTTTTTTCTTCTCTTTTTCTCTTTCTCTGACTACCCCTTTCTGCCAGCTTTTTGTTTGTTTGTTTGTTTTTTCTGGTATCAGGAATCGAACTCATGACCTTGCTCTTGCCAGGCAGGGGCTGAGCTAAATCCCCAGCCCCTTCTGCCAGCTTTCAAATACTTTTTGTTATTTATACTCTTTCTCTGACTACCCCTTTATGCCAGCTTTTAAATACTTTTCATTATTTGTAGCAAAAACATTTAAATGAAGTCTAGCTTCTTAACAGATTTTTAGAAGTACACTGCAATATTTGTTTTACACATAGGTACAATGTTTTACTGATCTCTGGAATTTAAGTATGTAGCAGAATTTTATACCCTTCAACACGCAACTCCTCATTTCCACCACCCAACAGTCTCTGAAAACCAGCATCCTATTCTTTATTTCTAGGGGCCTATTTCAGAGACCTCCTATAAATGGAATTATGAGGTAGTGTCTTTTTGTAACTGACTTATTTCAATTAACATAATGTCTTCCAGGTTCATGAATGTCATGGCATGTAGCAGTTCTTTCTTTTTTTTTTGAGGCATCATGATATTCCATTATATGTATATACTATCTCTAAGATCTGCAGTATTAATTACATAACATCTGACTTTCCCTATAAAAATCGTCCATCACTTGAGTGGTGGGGGTCACTTACACACCTGCAAGCATAGGGCCCATGAAGGCACATTCCTAGTTCAATTCTGCTCCCTGGAAAAGTCTCAGAAAAAAATAATAATGCCATCATTTACTGATGATTTACTACATACCCAAAAGACTTCACTTGCAAAATTTCGTTTGTAAATTCAATTTTCACAGGAAATGCTAAGAGGAAAATGCTATTTTATTCTTATTTTATAGTTGAAGGAACTGATCTATAGTTAAATATTTGGATCAAATAAAATAGCTACTAGGATGTAGAACTCAGCCTCAGCTCCTGCTCTAAGTCTCATGTTTCTAACTGCACTATGATGCATGTTTACACAAAGAGGCACCTCTTGTCAAAATCAGAATGCAGTTCCTTTCATCCCTATTACACCTGATGGCTTTAATGAAATCATTAATAGAATTCAGTTATCCCAGGAGTTAGTGATGTACACAAAATGATATGCACAGGGTGATGTACATTGGGCTCTGATTCCCATTCCAACCCAAGGTCATCAAGACTGAAGTCAGTTTCTTGACATACTAGGTTGAGGGTTTTTTTTCTTCTATAAAAGGAGACCAACAATGCCTATCTGCATTAGTCAGAATTCTCCAGAAAAACAGAACTATTTGGAGCTATCAGCTTTCATCATGAGATATTTCCTAATGCACTCACAGAAGCTCATAAATCCAAAACCTGCAAGCTTGTCTGACGGTGCTGGAGAACTAGGAAGAGCTGATGCTCTGGTTCTGAAGCTGTCAGCTTGACCTTTCTCTCTTACCTGAGGGAGGGTTGGTCTTCTTGTTTAATGTGTGTCTTTAATTGATTACATGAAGCCTGTCCACATTACAGAGGGTAAGCTGCTTCATTCTATGATCAAAATGTTAATTTAACCTAATGTCAAAATATAGCAATGTAAATGTTATTTTTTTGTTTTTAAAAGAATAATAAAAAAAGAATAGCAAAATACTAACAACATAGATAAAAACAAAACAAAGCAAAAACAATAAAAATGATACAGGGTTTCACAACAAACTGATAGGAATTAACAGTGACTGTTATATTAGCAAAGTTGTTCAGATTACCAGAGGTAAGAATGCCAGATTGATGAAACCATTAAAGGAATAAAAAATTAAAAAAAAAAACATTAGAAATGATACAGTTTTACTAGACAAGATGGTAGGAATTCACCAATTGCATATGATTGTCTTCAAAATGTTAATCTTATTCAAAAATATTTTCAAAGAAATACTCAGAATAATATCTGGCTAAATGATCTGGACACGTGTGGCCCTGTTAAATTGTCATATGAAACTAACGATCACACCATAGTCACAGATGCATAAAACTTTACCAAGCATAAAGCACACAGCACATTTTCATCCCCTTTGCTGATTTTAGCCTTTTCCCCTATTCTCTGTCTACAAAGGCAAAAATGGAAACATATTTTCTAATCATCATGGAGCTGAAGACCTGAAAGTCACACAAATAAAAATATATACATGTGATTTATTACATGAAATTAACTGCAGAATGCAGCATACATCCCTAGCCAGACATGTAAAATCAACTTTACTGGTATGTAAGTTCTGTGTAATGCACATTACACATTTTAAATGAACTGGTCAGTGATTTTGAGCCATATATATGGTAACAAAAAGGAGAATTTGGGACAGGTGAGTCCAAAGCTACTGGAAAGCCGTAAGGACTTTCCCCAACATTCTAGACTGTAGAATTACTTGAAATATTAAAACTTGGGGGGAATTGTATCATTACAGAAATATAATAGGCAGGGTCTTAAAAAGTGTTTTACAAAAAGTCAGTAATGACTTGTGTCAATTCAGACAGATGTGTCCCATTCTAAGATCTGAATTAGGAGTGTGCGTTTATTTTACATTTGCTCCTGAGGGGGGCGCGGGGTGTGTTCCCCGGTGGCAGGAAGGCTGTGGGGCCCAGGCCGGGAGATTAGGGACTCAGAATGACTCCTCCTGAAGAGCTCCATCCCCCTTTGTCTAACAGGCGCCCATAAGACTCCTCTGTCCTGCTGGGCCCCTGCCATGGGCCTCGGTTTCCTCTGTTGTGTGGCTTTTTGCCTCCTGCAGGCAGGTGAGTCCTCGGCAGGGATTTCGTGTGGGATTTCAGGTCCTAGTCCGAGTCTTTCCACCAAGGCTGCGGCATCAGCTTTTTCCTCTTTCTCTGCAGGTCCAGGGAATGCTGGCATCACGCAGACCCCCAAGTTCCAGGTCCTGAAGACAGGCCAGCGCATGACACTGAGCTGTGCCCAGGATCTGAAACACGACCGCATGCACTGGTACCGACAGGATCCAGGGCTGGGGCTGAGGCTCCTCTATTACTCATATGATGTTAACATCACTGAAAAAGGGGATATTCCTGATGGATACAGTGTGTCTAGATCAAGTAGAGAGCACTTCCCCCTCACCCTGGAGTCGGCGAGCCCCTCCCAGACATCTGTGTACTTCTGTGCCAGCAGTGACCACACAGCGCTATACGGCTGCCTCTGCTCTGCACATTAATACCCGGGAGGCCCCGCACCCGGGAACTCAGGGACACCCTGGCAGAGATCTCAGCACAGGGATGTTGGGACTCCAGTGACACTGGGTTTGCACTGCCAGTGTGTATCTCCAGACCATCTCAACCAGCCCTGGATGCAGTCTGGATCCAGAGGTCTCCACTGTTGCTCCTTGATGGTGATTCGCTGAATCTGATTTTTCCAGTTGTAAGCTTGAGGGATACCATCCAGCATGGGACAGGGTTTGTGACTTGGACATACATGGGCTCCTTGTTCTGGAACCGCATCAGTTTTCTGGAGAATTCTCCCCCAGCCTCATCTCTCAGGTGGTCTCACTGCTACCTTCCTTCTCCATGAGGATGGTTGTGCTCCAGAGCCCCACCAGGTCCTTCCTCTTCCCACCTCTCTAGCCTTTCCGTTCCATCCACACTGCCAGGCGCTCATCCAAGCCTGACTCTTCTAGTTGTACCTCCTCTGGCATAGAGCTTTCCTTTTCTTAGAGACTAAGACTTACCTGGGCTGCAGGTCTCAGCAATGCTGCTTCCAAGGGAAATTTGCTCCCCTTTCTGCCAAGCTCAATTTCCCTTCTGTAACCTTGCAAGGCCTCATGTGCCTGCTACTCAGTAGAATTTAGCACAGTTAGAATTTTCTAGAACTTGGCGGATTATTTTTCTATCCAACTAGATTTTAAGGCTGTAACTGCCCCCTTATCCCCTTACCCGCCTTACTATACTGAGAACCTATTGTACAGAGAAAGGGTGAATGAAAGACTGACTGAATGGATGGAAGAACCAATAACAAAACACCTTAGATCACACAGTAACTTAGCATTAACTATAAGGAGAAGTCATACCCCTTTCTTTGATGGGCTATGGCGGGTCTTGGATATTATGGGTAATCTCCTGTCCTTGGTTGACAGATCTGGCTTCTTTTTCATAGCTTCAGAACCAGACTTTCTCCAAAGTCTCTTCTTTCATTCAGCTTCTTTCTTCACAAGAAACCTAGCCAGTTCAGAGCTCTACTTCCAGAATTTCATCCTAAAGTTTTCTTTCCTGAAAACCACTTCTGGTATCAATAACTCTGTGAAGTCTCCATAAGTGGGACAGAACCATTAGCAATATTATGAGAAGAAAAGCTTTATCATATGGATTAGCCCTTATTCAAATGTGGGGAGGGCTGAGGAAAAGCAGGCTAAAAGGGAAAAGGCAAAAGGCAAAGGAAGGGAGCCAGCTGGTGGCCGGAGCTCTTGGAGGGATGGTTCAGGAGCACAGGGTAGAGCTGTGGGAGATGAGGATCAGGGTCATCTGATGAGACCTAAAACAGGAGCAGGAAAAATCCATGAAAATCTGATTCTAGAGAAGCTCTTGTCCCTATAGGGCCTGCCTCCATGGGTATACGGCTATTGAATAAGCCTCACTGCTGTTGGCCAGCATATGGGAAGATAAACTAGGCACAGAGTGCAAGAGAGAGAAGGAGAGAGAGAGAAAGAGAGGGAGAGATGGAGGATGCTGTCAGTCTGTTGTGCACCTCTGTACGTACCAGTCACTCTATGCATGATCACAGTGATCTTCCAAGTGTAATGTTCAATCTCTTACTAGTATCTTTTAAATTCCAAATGAAGGCCTTCTTGACCACTCTAGGCCAAAACCATTATGGAAATGCAATTTCCAGACCAAGTAATTTGGTCACAGGATGGCTTCTCCCAAAATGATGCTTCTAGTCACCCACCTTCCTAACCCTGCTGTGGGCTGCAGACTCTTACTCACCTAAACCTATGATGGCATGTGATGGGATATCCCCATTCTAGATTCTCCTTTCATGGCTGTGGTTCCAGTTGTCCTACTCAGAGGCACAGCTTCAGCTGTTGCTGCTGTCTTCTTCATGAGCTGCCATGGTGCTGGAGTCTTGCCAATCAATTAATTCATGAGTAATGTGACCTTTAAGTCCACTCAAAGAAGACTATGCACCTCCAAAGTGGAGAATAATCTTTTTTCTCTGGATAAGTTAGAACTAAGAAATAAGCCAAGTACTTTTGCTTCTTAGCTGTTTTCAGTTGACGAATGAAGAAACAGATCCCCAAAGTTAAGACTTGGAACCCTACTGTTTTTCACATATCAGACCCCAGTTACCCAGTGGTAAACATTAGTGAGCTTCTGCAAGTGAAGTGGTCTGCTGTAGATTATGGAAAGCATTCATCTGTTAAACCAGCATGGCAGCAGTTACATGGATAAGCCAGTTTTTGACTTGGTATGGAAATTTCCACTTTGAAGTGTGACATATTCTTGAACTCAAATGAGTATAAAATCTACAAATGTAATTCTGGTACCCAGGCTCTTTCCTGGAGTTTTGAGTGAGTGGGAAAAGGAAAAAGAAAGGGTAGTTTTAGATTTAAAATTTTTTGTGTTTAAAATGCATACATATGCATATGTATAATCTATAGATATCCTTTCTTCCTTCCTTCCTTGTGAAAGCACAGAATGTGAGAATTCTGTATCTAGACAGCACAGAGGCTGAAAATTATGACCTATAAATTGATTTTGTTAAAAAGAAGTTTATAGATATTTAAATCAGTCACCCTGATTAGTGTTTTATAATGTAAATTTGGTATTACTGAGGTCGCAGGGATTGTAAAGGAAATGATGTCACTGTCACTGCGGGAACCACCCTGTGGTAACAAAAGATGCCTTTCCTTTTCTGTCTGACCTGGTGAGCCTCTGTCCTGAGCTGACCCTGCCATGGATACCAGGCTCCTCTCCTGGGTTACCCTCTGTCTTCTAGGGACAGGTGAGTCTGCAGAAAACCAAGCCATTTCATTGTGTATGTGTGTGTGTGTGTGTGTGTCCACGTACGCGTGTATATGCATGTGTGGGTTTATTTGAGTGCTGACTATAACTGTTTTTCTCATTCTATTCCCAACTCTGTCTTCACAGATCACACTGAAGCTGGAGTCTCCCAATCCCCCAGTTACAGGGTCATAAAGAAGGGACAGAATGTAGCTTTCAGGTGTGACCCAATATCTGGTCATAGTTTTCTTTACTGGTACCAACAGACCCTGGGACAAGGCCCAAAGTTCCTAATGTACTTCCAGGATGAACGTCCAGCAGACACCTCAGGGATGCCTCCTGAGCGGTTCACTGCTGAGAGGCCTGAGGCCACCTTCTCCAATCTGAAGATCGAGGGTGCACAGCAGGGGGATTCAGCTGTGTATCTCTGTGCAAGCAGCCACAGTGAGCCGCAGCCACCTCCTTCCTGTTCACAAACCTCCTTGTCTCCTGGCAGTCCCTAGAGCCCCTAAAGAAAGTTGAGAGTATGCTGTCTTTTGCGTAGAAAGTTACCACAGAAGAGCTCGGCAAGCGCTCTGGCTGTAAACATGGGTGGAAGGAATCCCTAAAGACCTGTTGGGTTCTAGAAGTCCTGAGCCAGTCCAACACTGCTGGTGAAGATTGGATGTCTTAGCACTGGCGATCAGAGCAGCCACAGGCGGCTTGTTCTGTGACTTTGAAGTTGTTGCTCACCTGCATCAGCTTGGGTCATGCACAGTGTACCTGTCCTCGGCCCACCCCATCTGCTGACACATCCGGCTGCTGAAAGGCTGGAGGCTGCACATACACTCCCTGTTTAGGACCCTCTTTTATCACTGTCAAGGTGAAAGTTTTCTGCAACATAGCAAATTTGTTTTCCATTTTGAAGTTAAAGTCTTTGCTGCATTTGTGACAATAAATTAATAAGCACAACAAATAAAGCTTCATTTCTTCTGCTTAGTTTACTAATTCCTTTCTTTCAGTTTGCTTTGTTTTCCAGAGTTTCCTTCCCTCCTGATACCTAGACTAGAGCATGCTTTTACTACCACTCCAGCGTCTTCTTAATTACCTAAATGAGTCTTCTACAGACTGCTGTTTAAATTAATAAGTTACTGGTACATTTTAGATGTACATAATAATCACATTCATTATAGGGAATTTGTACCTGTACACGGTATATTATGATTCTTCTTTTTTCCCATCCCCCTCCCTTTAACGCTTCTTCCCCTCCTTATATTTACAAAAGCTTTATTTCAGTTTTTTCCTCCTTTTCTCATTTATTTTCTTCTCCCCTCTTCCCCATCCTATTTGAACATTTTCTTCCTATTTCAAAATATCTATTATACATTTTGGTCCTTATTTACACTTTCAGTTTCTCACACCAGAGAAGTAATGCGGTATTTACACATGTGTGTCTGATTTATTTCACTTAAGAGTATGGCCTCAATGTGCATCCATTTACCTAGAAATGTCTCAAGTTTATCCTTATTTATTACTAAGTAGTACTCCACTGTATAAAAAAACACATCTTCTTTATTCATTCGTTAGTTGATGGACATTTGGACTATTTCCAAGATTTAGCTGTTACACACTGTGCTGCTATAAAATGGGTGTGTATATATCCCTGTCGTATGATGCTTTTAATTCTTTTGGGAAAATACCAGGAAAGGGAATAACTGGGTCAAATGAAAGCTCTAGCTTTAGTATTTTAAAGAAACTCCATACAGATGCAGAAACAACTCCAAACACACTCAGTTACCTTGTCTCTAACAAATGGGCCAAGCATATCCACTAGAAGAAAGATAGCTCTTTAATACATGGTACTGGAAAAACTGGTTTTCCACATGCTGAAGTAAAATTAGAACCATGTCTCTTACTATGCACTCAGCTAAAATCAAGATGGTTCAAAGATCTAAATATTAAAACAGAAACACTAAATTTACTGGAAAAGAGAATAGGTAGAATTTTTGAAGACATAGGTATAGGCAAAACTTTATGATTAAAACCTGAATCACATACGAAAAATTATAAAGAATCAGGAACTGGGATCTCATCTTATTAAAAAGCTTTTGCACAGCAAAAGAAACCACCAACAGAGTGAAGAGACAAACTACAGAGTAGGAAAAAGTTATTGCCATCTGTTCCTCAGATAAAGGACTAATATCTAGAATATATAAAGAACTCAAAAAAATCAGACCCCCACCTGTAAAGACCCCATCCAAAAGTGAGCATCTAGAATAAATACACATTTCTCAGATGAATAAATACAAATGGCAAATATATATGTGAAAAATTATTGGGCTGAAGATATAGCTCAGTGGTACAGCACCTGCCTGGCAAGCACGAGGTCCTGAGTTAGATTACTAGGACCAAAAAAAAAAAGAAGTTCAACTTCCTTGATCATTTGAGAGATATAAATTAATAGAACACCAAGAGTCCATCTCATTCCAGAAAGAATAGGTGTTATCAAGAAAACAACCAATAATAAATCCTGGCAGGACTGTGGGCAAAAAGGAATCCTCCACTGTTGGTGGGAGTGTAGACTGGTGCAACCACTATGGAAATCAGAATGTTTTAATTGTTATCCTAGACATTTGATTTGCAGTGATGACCCTGAGGTTTCAAAGTCAAAATGTGGGATTTTAAAAATTAAAATTTTGGCATTTTTAAAAAGATGTCCCTTCTTTTTATCAGTGTTATTTGTTATACATTGTTATGCTATTTATTATAAATTCAAATACTTCTATTGGTTTTTTTTGTTTGTTTTTTCTTCTAGTACCAGGAGTCGAACTCAAAACCCTCCCTTGACAGGTAGGCACTGTGCTGCTGAGCTAAATTCCCAGGCCCCCAAATACTTATATTGTAATTAAATTATTTTCCCATTTGTGATTCGTAGCCATGAAGACCATGCTTAGAGGTGATATCGTAGATTCTAGGTTTCTGGGAGTTTCTGGAGATAACCCAGGGCTCCAAGAGTGGAACTGAGTACCACAGATGCAGCCATAGTCAGATGTCCATGTGTAGCTGGAAAGGGAAATCTCTGTTTCTCCTAAGTCCACTTAACAGGAATTATAGCGCCTCAGTACACCAAATTCCTTTCTCAAGAATCACCATCCTTAGCAGGGCACTGTCCTGATACAATTGTAATGGTGCCATCATCAAATACTCTATGTTCTGCTGCCCTTTATCTTCTGAGAGCAAATAAATCCAGGGCACAGATGGAAATTTCCTGTCCTTGAGATCCGTTCTAGTAAATCATTTCCTAGACCTTGTCTCCAACTTTGGCCGCCTTAATTTTCAGGACCTCCGAAATACTTGACTGTAACAGTGGGACGAGCTTGACAATGAGGTTTGAACAGAACCAGAACACAGTGGCAAATACTGGAGCAAAATGTAATGTTTGCAGTAGTGAGCTCATTGGGTACAGTTTTCTGGAAAGGGAAATAAGTAGTTTAGAGAGTTTGCTTTCTCTTTCAGGGTCACCATCCAACCAAGATGACAATTCCTTCAGGTCTGTGTTGTTTATAGCATTTGGGGATGCTTCTGAGGTTTAATTGTATCCAGAAATCACTGAAACTGCACAAATCCTTTGTTCAGTTACAACCTGCGGACAGAAAAAGAGACAGCAAGCTTTTTTTTTTTTTTTGGTTTTTCTCTGGTACCGGGAACCGAACTCACGACCTTGTGCTTGCCAGGCAGGCGCTTTTGCCGCTGAGCTAAATCCCCAGCCCCCGAGACAGCAAGCTTTTAAACGCAGACATTTTACATGTCCTTGAAGCTTATTGTCCCCATCTACCTATCACTCCATCTACCTATCACTCTGCTTGAAATGAAAAGGCATGGAATTAAGGACATGTGATGAATCCAGGCAAGAGATCTGTGCCAGTTATTGTAGGGTTGAGGAGGGAGAGAGTTTTTATGCTTAAGAATGTGCTAAGCAAGGAAGGAGTAGTGAGTTGGTTCACAGGAACCTAAGAAAGTCTACACCTTAAGAAAGATTTTAATTCTGTGGGTAGTGCTAGCCCATTGGCAATGAAAAAATTAAAATCCTTAATAGCCAAACTGATTAAAACGTTTAACAAAGGAACAGCAGTTAAGGACAACCCTCTCTCAGGGGAAGAGGTCTTGTCAAAGCTGCAAGTGTAAATAAAATTTTACACTCAACACAAGTGCTGCCTGAAGGATTTACAAGGTGCCAAACGATCCAGGAAAGGACATTCTTCAGACGATCATATTTGCTGCCTAAACCCTTTGCCTGCATCGTCACACCTTCAGAAAAATCCCAGTCTCTTACCTTGACTGCTTGATTCCAGTCCCTCTCCAGGGAACTCCTCTGCTGCCACCTTGGCAGTATACCCCAACCTAAATAAACTCTTGTCTCTTCTACAGTTCTTGTGTATTGGTAAAGTCTTCTTACCATCTGCCTCGGCAGCTCTCTGCAGGCAGAGTGGAGGGAGAGACTCATGAATAGATTGTTGGAAGTGGAAATGGCTCCTTGGAGCTGGGCTACAAAAAAATAAAGAAAGTTCTCTAATGCACCACACAATCTCCTGAGTGGCTGAGATTCCCTGTCCTAGAGTGTCCCTAGCTCCACCATTCCCTGCTACTCATATCAGCAGACATGCATGTTATTGGGAAAGTTATTGGTTTAGTGTAGAATGACCTTGCCCCTTCTTGATTCTACTTACTGTTTTTCCCCTTAGACACTACATCTTCCATGATTATTGTTCTATATATTCTTCTATGCTCATTGTACTTTTTATTGACACATTTGACCCTGATTTGAACATAATCTCATTATATACACAGTCCTTTGCTGACATAATTTGGGGGTAATGTTTTAAATGTTTGTTTTCTTTTTAACCTTTTTAATCTTCAGAGTAATGGAGTTAAAAGAACCTTCTTACACTTCAATCCTTGGGTAATATTTGACCCCAAGTATTTTCTCTCATTCCTTCCATTCTACCCTTAATTTAGAAGACAGATGTAAGGGAAAGTACCTTCAGGCTGTGACTGTGATAGAAGTGACAGTCTGTGATAGAAGCAAAATGAGAGTATTAAACATGGCAATTCAAATTCAGGGCAAGAATTAGTGTTGGATTAGAATTCAAGGGAACTGATCATAAAACCTGCTAACTGTGCAGACGTTTACCAGCATTCCCTGGGTCATTGCGAAGGAAATAACAAAGAGACTTCACAAATGGACCGCAAGGTGGCACTGCGAGGCCACTGGCCTGTGAAAGAGCGCTGGCGAGAGCCGAGGAGAACAACCTAGGAAGGGAAAGGGTTAAGAATAACTTGGGTTTGGATCCAACATGAGGCATATGCTGAGAACTTTGCAGTTACTGCTAGGCTACCAACAAGTGTGCAGGAGGTGGGGGAGGCTCTTTCTACACTTTAAGGAGATTCACAGTTGAAGAATTTGGCAGCGTAGCTTTGATGTCAGGACAGGTGCAGAGAGAGGACCAACAGCCTTACAGGAATGTGGGAAAACTCGGGAGCGCGGTTTGCTCTCAACTGAGCGCCTGCTGCAACCCTCCTCCTTCCCTGTAGGTCTTCTCCATTACAGAAGTGGTTGATCCTGTCTGAGCTCAGTTGAAGGCACTGGGCCAGGGAGAATCTTCAGGGGTACACAGGAGTGATATCAGTGGCCCATCCACCCACCCCTTAGGGAGGAGCCTTACAGCTCCTGTCCTGAAATCGCAGCTTTTAGATGGGGCAGTCTCCTTCTCATGGTGACCTGCCACAAACCCTAAGCTTTTGCGTTCAGTGCTTTGTCTCCTGGGAGCAGGTTAAGTTCTGGGCTCTGCTGGAAAACCTTTCCATGGGTTTGCAGAGTCCCTGCTCCAAATCTTTCCTCTGCAGGTACAACCTGTGCCTTAGGTTTGGATTTTACCTTGTGCTTCTCTTGCCTACAGGCTTC